CAAATAGAAATTTAACTAATAGGCATACAAAAATGCATTTTGCACCATTTTATAGCATGACTCGAATAGTTTTGATTGACATGTCAGTAGACTCCCACAGCTGCTCCGTTAGTGGCTCTCAGCACGTCCAACCGATGTTTCAATTTCAGCCCATATTTGGCTGCAGCATGTCCACTGCCACTACGATGGCGTCCGTCACCCTGGTCTCGTTCTCCGATGTTTGCTATAGGTGTGCCTTTCACATACCCCCAAAGAAAGAAGTCTTGCCGGGCGAACGTGGAGGTCACGGAACTGGCTCATCCAGGCCAATCCATCTTCCCGGAAACGTCTGGTCTAGGAATCACCCGAGGAGTAAACTCCAGTGGGGTGGCGAACCATCTTGCTGAGAGATGTGGAAGTCTACTGACATGTCAATGAAAACTCTTTGAGTCAGGCGACAAGATGGTACAAACTACATTTTTTGTATGACTGTTAGTTATTTTTTTTATGCCCAAAATAGGAAAGATGATTTAGGAATAGCCCATATTTTCAGGTATTTGTGCCTTACTGCAGGGTTTTACCACAACTTAAAAGGTATAATGCATTTGCATTTGTTGATTAAAATAACCATGCATTAACCCCATGACTCGGCTGGGTTTTTGCACATCTTCATCTGATTTGTTGATGACTATCCTTTGAATGCTGAAGGAGGCAATGAAGTTCTTCCATTTATCAACATTTTCTCGCATTTATTTCCATTGCTCACAACTGCTTTTTAGTGCCAGTCTGCTTCGGCCTATACTTGTGAGTGCGTTCCATACTTCCCGTCACCACGGACTCGGGAACGCGTGAGCAACGAGACAGAAAGTAGATGAACATCAAGAGGAAGGAACAAGAAATGAATGCGAAAAGGCCGTCCTGATGCCGACGATGCTGATGCTGACCTGATGCTGTACAGGACCTGGCCGTCCGGCGTGATCCGCACGAACACATTCGGCAGGAGGATGTTGTGCAGGTTCGCTTCCCTCTCGTTCTGGAAGAACAGATCCGGCATCCACATCTTCTTCGGATCCACCAGGACTAGGTACTTCACCTTCCCTGCAATTCCCATCAACCAATATTGCCCTGCTACGAGTCCCAAGCACCATCAAGCAATATCGCCCTCCCGTGATTGCTCAAGCTCCCATCCATCAAATCGGATGATACGAGGGGGAGCCTCTGCCTTTACCTCCCATGTTGTCGAATTTGAGCCTCTCGTCCTTCCACTGTTCTCGGAAGGTCAGCTGCACGGTGTAATCCTGCAAGAATGTAGAACTTGTTTTTTTTTTTTTTTCTTCCAGGGGACATGTCCCGAATCGAGCCGAGTACGCTAACAAGACTAAGCCCTTATCTACAATTTGGTACAACTGTGACATGTTTATAACTTCAAAGAAGGTAAATGTCAATTCAAGGTAAACTAGAGACAGCTGACCCAAGTAATTAGAAAAGTCCTTGACCAATTTTAGAATCTGATTGAAGTGTGGCTCACCATGGCGATATCGTCGATTTCAGTGATTCCTCGCAGGAAGAAGTTGATGGTTATGACCGCTGGATCCTCTGGGAACGCAAGGGAAAAAGTCTTATTTGGCGCGTCTCTGGCATCGAAATTCCAAAAAAATGCAGTTGCGAAAAAATCCGAAAGCTGAGAATTGAACTCATCGAGTGTAGTCGATAATTAGGAAGCCAGTTTAAGCTCAGGTTTTCCTTAATACTAAAGGTCATGCTTGGAAAAAGGGTAATCTCTGCAACAGGGTTCAAACGTGGAATTTCTCAGCCTTGAGGATGGCAAGTGCAAAAAAAAAAAATTCATTCAGCAATTATACTCGATGGAGCTTCAGAGTAATTTGCAGTCGCTGTAGGTAATCGTGAAAACGCTGCTTGACTTTAGCAGAGAAGTCATGGATTCCCAAGACGATTTATCGGTATCTTAATTTGAACCTGCTGACTGAAAAGAATATTTTGAGTGGAAAAGGGGGACGCCGAGGACTGACCCGTCCGGTTGAGACCGAGTGGCCGGATGCGGGCGTCGTATCTGTCGGGTCCCAGGATCCCATCCAGGATCTGCTTCTCTTGCTCCAGGAAGCTCAGCGCCCTGCAGAGAGGAACGTGATGGGGGTGGAGGGGACCGTGATGGGGGTGGAGGGGACCGTGATGGGGGTGGAGGGGACCGTGATGAGGGTGGAGGGGACCATGACAGGAAATAATGGAACAGGGAAGATTTTATTGATTGCTAGCCTTTTACATTTTTTTTTTTAAAGGCTTTTGCCTCAAGACAATACGTGTGCGCAAAATTGATGAAAAATGTGCTGATGACATGGATGACACGTTCATGTCATTCCTTACTATTATTCTTGCCAGGCCCGAATGACCCATTTTCTGCTGATTCTGCTGGCCTCTTTCGGGTCTTTCATTTGCCGAGACCCCATTTACTTTCCACCGTCGACTTCTCGCCTTATTTCCGTCCGTGGCGGTAACAGGTCGAGCGACATCGATCGCCTTCGTTATTGTACCTCCCTTCTAATTTTAGTTGCATGACCCTCCCCTTTTTAAAAATCTGTTTTGCACACTTGATGCATTCGTTCACAAACGTTACAACTGGATATTCTCTTGCATCAATGATCCATTCTGAGCGCGTGTCATTAGCTTCATATGTGGGATTTAAAGTATGAAATGTGAAACAATCGAGAGACGTTTCAGAGGTCAGAAAGGGGGAAAAGACAATCGAAGGAATGATAACGGAGTCAGAAAGAGTGGTAAGTATTCATATAATTATATAATTAATCATATTTTACTTCTTTCTTTTTGCCCATTTTGTTCCCTGGATCTTCAGAAATTTGCTACGTTAAAAACATAACGAAAACGAAACGTTCCGACGTGATTTCGACGGTTTTGGGACTATCTCTTTCAATGGACTGGAAATCCCGCATTTTCTCTTCTGTTCAACGAGTTCATTTAAAATGTCATTTTCGCATTCGGACTTACCAGGCGGCTCGAGCAAAGGCGAGGACGAAAACCGAATGACGCGTCATTTCGCCGGCCTGCAAGACACAGGGATTCCCCAGCGGATTCCGCGGCTGATCAGCGCGATCGGGGAGGAAAGCGCGGAAGGATGGAGGGAGGACACACGCCCAGCACGCACCACACGCACCACACGCCCAACGCGCACGAGCATGGATGACTCAAGGATAAGGGGCGTCACTTCTCTCCCCTCCCAAGGTCAACCGTCGGCATGCCAATGTTTCATGCCTTGCCATTGAAATTGGGCGTAAGCGTATCAGAATACACGCCACCTGTTATCAAGTTACTTCTCTTTATTAATCAGATTACTTTAGCACATCACCGGATCCGGTCAATGCGCTGTATCTCATGAAGATCGAAGTAGGCGGCCTGGCATGTTTGCTCATATAGATTTCCTTGAACTTTGGAGTGGCGCCTACAATGAAATTGAATCTCATGTCTTTCGAGGAATCTCGTGAGGATTCCCGATCGTCCATCGCGCTTGCATTTTGCAGAAATTTGACACAGCAAGGAAACTGCAGAGGAAAGAGTGAGCAGATCCAGTAGCAAAAGCGAACAATTGCACAACGCATTGATTACAACGTAATCTCGAATTTCAAACTATTGCGAGTTCGCCCACCTTTCGTCGAAACACGAAGGCCAGTGTCACGCCCAGTGCATCGGCGTGCGTGTGAAGTCAGCTTGCCGTTGAAGGTTAATCTTCAAAACTGTTGAGGTTCAGCTGGGGACTCGAAGAGTCAATGTTGTCCCTGCCTCTGTCGGCCCTTCCATTCCTTTAAATCAAGCTGAGGGGGCATTTCGCTTCACAATCTATCTATTCTTCGACAGTATTCGGCTTTGTTTCTCCCTGTTCCAGGAAGGGACAAATCGAAGGAAAAAAAAATTCCAAGGCTAAAAGTCGGCTCGGGAATTTGACGCCGTTCCTGTCTATACTGAAAACCCCCGTGCTGGAACACTCATCCAATAGGGAGAATCGGTGTTAAAGGGCTTTCACCGACATCCTGCGGCGAGTTGAAAACGCAAGAAAATTGAATTTGTATGCGTTAATATTTCCTAATCGGGCCAATTGGCACATTTGATGGCCAATTTCAAGGCAAAGCAGATGCAGATCTTACAGCATAAGTAAATTCAATCGGACTGATGGCAACTAGGCGGTGCCGTGGGAGTGACAGACGTCATAAAAACCCATCAGCTCATTTCATACGTTTTTTATGAGGACAAACTAGAGCATCGATTCCTATGAGAAACATTCTCATCGATAAAATGGATCGACACCTTTTGAGTCCTCCGAGATGATGCCCATTGCTCCAAGGCGGTGCAGGCTTCAAAGGATTCTGGGGCACAGGTGACTTCAAAGGATGCTGAAAGTCCTCGGCCTGTCCGCCTCGATTCGCCTAGCCGACGACAGAACCAAGAACGAAAGCTACTTCCGCGGGGTCTGATTCCTTCGGACGTTTCAGTTCTTCGAGAGTCCGACTTAGTCCGGGCGCTTTGGAGACGTAAAAGGAAGATTCAGGAAACGCCAGCGCTAACCGTTTGCAGTTGACAGTGGTGCACTGATATGAATGCAAGAAAACCGAAGTTCCCCCCAAAAGTATAATCATTTAGCGGGAACTTCATGCCTGATGAAAAAATGGGGGAGAATCAGATCTCGACGATCCTGAACCCAATCCTCAGTTATTTCGATAATATGGAAGCATAAAAAATGGACATAAGAAGATCGTGCCACTTTTATTTGATATGCTGAAAGGAGAGACCCTACGTTGTATTACGGATTAGGATAGTAATTCGAAATGATATCATGCATGCCTGTGAAAGTACAACCATGCTCTCAGAGATCTTCCCTCTCATATGACACACTCAAAACTGGTTCAGCCTGAACTGAATAAGCACCACCAAACTTGTAATGCTGAAGCCCACCACCTGTCAAAGAAAGTGGGTCTCACGAATAGCTGGAATGCATGACGCGCAAAAAAAATTGCTCCGGCATATTTTCACCCTCACCGATACGACGGTTTTGCGATCGATGCAGAAGAAATTCGCGGCCGTCAATTCCATCCCATCGAGGGACAGCGACGAAATGCACAGCAGCGCCTGCATGCCAGGAGCCCCACGCAGCCCTCAATCAACATGCCACTATGAATCCTAATGGGAGGAGGAAACTGAGCCTTACCTCCACCTTGTCTTTCTCGGCCTCTTGGGCAGCCGCATCCCGTAGGGCGGAGGCCAGCACTTGGACCTATGGAAAAGGGGCAGTCGTCAGTCTGATGGGGATATTTTCACAGTGATTTATAACTCTTGCCTTGATATAAGATTGAATGAAGCGGATCGTGGGGTCCATACAATTAAAAGAAGAAAACATTTCAAAGATACGCTCAATTTCAGTCGTAAAACAAGCAAATCTCCCACAATTTAAATTTGTATGATTGGAAGCCGTCTTATTTTTGACATTGCAATTTGCAAATACGTTTGTTCGTATTCCATGCCCTGAAACTTGATACATATAATGGAACCTTTGGCTTTTTTGCATCTGAGGGTCAAGAGCATCAACTCCATTCACAATAGAAATGAAGCGTGTCGACATAAGGAGAAAATCTAAAATTATTTTGAAGCTGGAGTGCGTAGTAAATGTATATCAAGTCTGATTAAATGTATTGGTAATCATTATTGGAATCACTTCATTCTTCAGACGTTCCCCGATGCTGCAACTGAGGAGGAGCCACCCCAGGAGAAAGGGAAGGGCCACCATCATGGGGAATCCTGAGGATGTGATCGACTCGAAGTTGAAGATGGCAAAGTATATGCCATAGATGAAGCTGTAAATGTTGTAGAGGATGATCAGAAGACGATTCGTGCCAAAGACGCCATTGAGAGCACGAACATTCTTCTCGACGGCGGACACTGCGCGGATGGCGTGTGACGCCGTGCAAGAACCGGCCCGAACGGAGTCGGAGATGGTCTTCAAAATGTCGGCGACATCCATCGCGAAGTAGCAGAAGAGAGGATCCAGGATCGTCGAGTATTTCACCGTGCTCCACGTTTTGCTCACACTCATCCACAGGGCGTGGGAATCGGTCGCCGTCATAGAAGAGCCCAAAGAAACAGCCACAGTGATGATGGTCAGAGCGGCCAATATCACCCCAAACTTCCTTTGCTTTGTTGCTGTGTCATGATTTATGCCGATACGGCTGAGATCCATGAGGGAATCCTCCCAGGTTCTCTCCAGCGCCTCGTAACTCTTATAGAAGGAGATGATGAGAATGAGGAGAACAGTTGTGAAGAGGCATTCCATGTACACACCAGATGTAAATAGGCTCGTGCGCATGTCGTCTGCTTTGAGGAAGAAATAATTTTGGACCGTGGCCACGCGATACCAGGAAATGACGACGCGTCGATTGAACTCGATGAAGAGAAACAAGGTGAAGCAGTAGAGGAGATGAGGCACGGATCGGGGTGGGAGGTAGAGTCCTAGGACTTTCAGAGTCATCCACAGCCACCGGTGCTGGACCGCAGGCTTCGCAACTTCCATGTTTCCTGACTTTTCCTCGTGAAATGGGAAGACCGTTCCCTTTCATCTCTACTCGTGTCCCATCTGATGAAAACATATTGCAAATGACCTTTAAAAGCTTCTGTCAATCCATCAGGAAGCCTTCGGAATCGACTGATGTTCAATAATTGGATTGGTTGCTCTCGCAGTTGACAATTCCCAAGAATCGATGTTCACTTTTTCCTCGTTGCAACATGACGTTCAATGAAGATTTTGTCGTCGTGAGACAAGCTCGTGCTATCCTTCAGTAGTGCCGGCTTTAAATTAGAGAAATTATTACTTATAAGTACGAAGTGTAGTGACATGAGAAGCCCTCCGTTAGTCTAGGATAATCACGGCGATTGACCCCTCAGCGAAAGTCCGAGAATGTCGGAGTCGCATTATCGCTGTGAAAAAGAATATTTTTGGGCTCTGACTGATTTCAGCCCAGAAGAGGCGTTGCGAAGTTCCCTCGCACATCTTTCACGGCAGTAGTTCGCAACTGGTGGGTCGCGATGGTCTTCTACGTGGGTCACGAGAGAATGAAATTATTCTGAAATTTTCTAGAAAATTTGTGAGAGGTTAGAGAAGACAGAGATGAGTCATGAGCTCCAAACCAAACTATCAATACATAGCAGTATTACATGAGCTAAAGCTTGAAGAAACTATCTAATCTCCGCATCCAGATTACAAGCCAGAATAGGGAGAATAGGCAAGCGATTCCGAAATGAACAAACAGCTATAAATTGTCTATTTAACTAAATCTTGCTCTTACCCTTCAGTTCCA